CGCATCAGCGTCGTCGTCTATCACTGTGTCGAGTATTTGCTGCAGCTCTTGTGCCTGAACTGAGAGATCACCTCGGCGGTTTCGCGTATGTCGCTTGCTGGTGGGCTGGTGCTGTTGCCGGGCTTTCTTCTATCTCTTCGCGGCGGGGCTGATGTTCTCGACGCACGTATACCTGCTGACGACATCCTTTCTGGCTGCTGAGAAACCGGCCATCGAGTTCGTCGATAGGCGCAGTAGCTTCTGGCGTCGCAATTCTTGAAACTGGCGTCGCATCTGCCGGCTCTTCGCGGGCAGTGATGGCAAGCTTCTCTGCGCTGGCTTTGGAGCGATCATCTTGCCTCTCAGAGCTTTTTCCGACTCGCTTTCGCTTCGCGGATGTGTTGGGCGTCGACCGTGTTGCTTGAACGGGCGGGGTCGGTGCGGGAGGGTTTTCTGGGCTCGTTGGTGCGACAGTCGATGTTGTCTCGTCACTGAGCATTAGCTGAAAGGACACTTCTTCGACTTGTCCATGTCTTTTTACACGTCAGCAATCTCTAGAGAAAAATATGGTCCAGGCCGGGACGTACCCGGCACCACGAATGCGCTGCTGCATGCGCTCAGCGCGTGCTATCGAGGTTGAGAGCGTCAGCCATGAACATAAGTGTCCTTCTCGGCAAACTTACTGGCCATGGTGACAACGAATTCAGATTCCACATGAAAAGATCACTGAAATAAAAATCTCAGATTTTGGTCATGATCCTGGACGAATCGAGATAGAACAGGGGTCGTTGGGCGTCGGCTTGGAAGCAAGTGCTCAGGAACGAGACGCGTCGCATCGGAAGTGGGGGACGCGCCGATAACACCTTGGCTACACCGAGCTTACCGAAACTACTGGTACAGACCACAGCAGCACGGAGCTGCCCCAGAAAGCCCCGCACATTCGTGGGAAGCTGCTACTTCAAGTCATGCAAGGAAATGAATTCCCCAATATTACATGCAGAACTTGTGTCTTAACACGCCCTGCACATCGGACAACTCAACATGCCATAGATAGTCTCAAACAAGAGCATTAGCGACAAATCGGCATTACAGCCTGATAGATGAACAGACAGTTCTGAAGCAGGTTGACGTCAAGCATGCCGTCAGAATGGACCTTCAAAGGGCCTCGAAAGTTGACCATTAGGCTCTCTTGGTGTGATTTTGTTTCGCAGGTCTGTACAATCAGTAGCCTATAAGCATGTCGAGGTGCCCTTAGTAGCTGACTCAAAGCTTGCAGGATGCGATACCGTAGAAACTGCAATAAAGTGGCATGACAAGTAATTCTCATCGCTTGTTTTATGTGTACATGAATTGTTGAACGATAGTAAGGAAAAAGATAGACCCGCTGTGGAATACCGTGGTATAGATTGCGCATGTAGCCTCCCACAGGGGATTGGGTAGAGAGCACGCGAACCCCCCTGTACCTACGACTGAGACGTAGAATCAGAACACATCGTGAGAACACGCACATCTGCGAGAGCCGAGAATTTCTTTCGCGGGCCCTGCCAGGCTTCCGTTTCGCTGCCACTCGGATTCCACCCCTCAGTTGTCCCGCCACTCTTGGCCACCCTGGACTCCACTTGGGGATCCGCCTCGATTGTTGCTGTTGTGACTGGCGCTCGACGAGGCAGCGGGAGTATCATCATCGTCGTCGTCGTCGAGCACCTTGGCAAGCTCATCAGGGTCTTGCATCTTGGCATCGGGATCGACGATGCCGCCATCATACTCTGCCCTCTCCCCGCGCTCAGCTTCTAGCACACCATCATCAGCACTGACGGAGATGCCCCTCGCTCCCCACTTGGACCGGCTACCACCACGTCGGCTTTCGTGACGACCAAGCGCAGGGGCACTCTCCTCATCTTCCTCGCCATAGTCTTGGTTGCTGGGCTTGCCAAAGATTCTATGGAGGAACCAGCCACGGTTGAGGTCGTCGGCATCGACAACACCACCATTGCGAAGCTTGACCCGTTGGCGCGTGTAGTAGACCCAAGCAAAGTCGACATAGAGCGCTGTCTGCACGATGCCGAAGACGACCGAAACAGCATTGGGGGGCTTGTCCGACAGATCGAGTTCCCGACTAATCCATCCAACAAGGTAAAGAGCCCGATAGGAGCCCAGGGCGACAAGGTAGAACGAGTCGATAACGGTCGGTACGGTAGTCTGACGCAAAAGGAGGAGCTGGGGTAGGATGCAGACAGACTCGAGGATCTGCGAGAAATCCCAAATCCACTATCGGTAGGTGTTAGTTGCTTGCTGTCACAAGCCATGGGGACACACATACCACAAACATGCTCCAGTGCGACTTTGGCTCAAGGATAAGCATGGCGAAGGGGGAGAGGAGCAGAGCGCCGCCGAGGGCGCCAGCGCCAACCTTCCAGGCCATCTCGCGCTCCCTGGATCGGGGATAGATCCACTGCATTATCCCAATAGTGTAAAACGACGAGAGAATGTAGAAGGCCTTGAAGAAGCGGTTCCAAAGCACTTGTTCGGAGAAGAAGTCGGTATATCTCGAACAAAAGACCAGGGCATACAGCCCCTGGGTAATGAGGGAGACCCCTGAATATAATTGTCAGTATGCCCTAGCTAAGTCGGCATCGGATCAATAGCAGGGTACCTTCAGCACTCCTGTGGCGATGAATCGAGAAGAGGAGGATGCATTTCGAGGAAGGTGGGAGCAGTCTCCCAGCAATCGGAATACCTAGGCACGCATCAGACTAGCCACACTATGGTGTTCACATCGGCCAAGTCTCTACTCACGTTCCAAGCTGTCATTTTGTATGTCGGAAGGTTGATGAGAATACGGAGTCGACCTCCAATGGGTGTAGTTTGAGGTTACGATTGCGAAACAAATGGCCACGGTCACATCACACGATGCGGTGCGCCGCAGGAGTATGGTCTAGGAAAGTAGACCGATACAGCTAACGAATCCGCCGTGTTCTTTGTACTCGTCGTTCGTGCAATCGTCGCAATCGTAGATTTCGTTGCGGTCGTTTGAATCGAGGCTGCCTAGAGGGATGTAGGCAGTCAAGATACCTTAGCTACCTTGTGTTGCGTAATGCGGTTGAGTTGTCCCAGGCACGCCTGGTGGCTTGGGCCAGAGTCTCCCCTCTCCGTGGACGTCCACCTGGGCGACAAGCTTGGGTGGCCTTATCGATGACAGTACCCACCAACAGCTATCCGTTCTAGGGGTACCTCTCAGAGGAATGAACTCCCACCTCTCAATCCAGGGGACGTGGCGCCTCTTGAGGTGGCTAGGCCACCTCATCACAGTGCCCCCCAGACAGGTTGAACAACCTCCTACTGTGTGAACAGCGGCCCCAGCGCTGCGCCCCATAAGGTGCAAGGGCATATTCTGTCATTCCCCGCTCCTGCGCCTTGGTACGTAGCCGTAGGCGCTCTTGAGTATCAGTGCCCTTCCTTCGTAGCTCGAGTGTCAAAGACGATAACCCGACGTATCCGCACCCCTACCACCTCGGAATAGCTCCACATGAAGCCGCCCTGCATGACCTTGATCTCATGCTTCAGGTCCTCGCATTCGCAAGTATACACACAGGTCTCCGTCTCGAACAAGCTAAAGTATGATGGATTCTCCACTAAAAATTGCGAACACTCACGCCTACCACCCTTGTGTCGCCAACAATGCCAATGATGCCTGAGCTTGTTCATTCGGCCCCACGCCCGAACAATTAAGCTTACAATGCCCACAGTAGTGACTCCATGTCTTTTCCATAGTGCATGTAGATGTGTTGATCTATAGATGAATACATTTCATAGCAGGTGAACCCGGTAATTTGATGATAGCGGCCATCAGAATTGTCTTGACCTTGGCAACTCGTTAGTATGGTGAACGGCAACAGACTTGGCATGGACGACCCGTTCCAGGTACAAGGCAGGTAGTAGGAGAGGACCGGAGAGGATGGAGCGGGATCAGGCTATAAACGGTCAGAGTGATCCCTGCCGTGTTCGCCGCCAACCCTCTCTCCGCAATCCGACAATGTCTGACCCGCAAATAATACTGATGACGACCCGTCACGCGTCTTCTGGATCGGCATCGATCCTATAAAGACGCGTGGTCTCAAGCTCAAGTTCTGGAAGCGACATTGTACGCCAAGTTGGTGTTCGATATAGCCCATTTCGTCTACAATGAGGCTCGGTCGGCTCCCTATCGCGCTGTCAGCATGGTTGGCCCTGGGAAGTGTTCCTATCGCGGTTGCGGCCGACGAGAGTCTCCACCGTCGTCAGGCCAAACCTGGCAAGTACTTTGGTAGGTTTCATTGTCTGTATGTCCCTCAGCCCTGCGAGAATTCAACCTTACTCTATTGTAGTTGAATCCAGGTAAGGTGTCCGATGCAAGACTCCCGGTGATCTGCCTATCTAATCGTGGAATGGACTGGAAGCTTCAGTGCACATTATGATGGCAGGTTCGCAACAAAGCAGATCACAGATGAGAAACTCCGACGAGAGGCGTTGAGAGTCCTGATACAGACTTATCTGGCCACCTTTGAGAGTATTGGCATCGAGACATGGCTCATGCATGGAAGTCTTCTGGGGTGGTGGTGGAACAAGAGGGTAACCGCCGAGACTGCCAGATAATCCTATGTGCTCTTGAAATCAGCTGACGCCGAAAAAGGTGATGCCATGGGACGATGATGCCGATGTCATGGTCTCCGAGCCCAGTTTGTTTCTACTTGCCGCGTACTACAACATGACGACCTACTACTACGAGTACCCGGCCATTCCAGAGGGTCGCTCCTTTCTGTTGGACATCAACCCTCACTACCTGGTTCGAGACAAGGGAAAGGGCCTGAACTCGATAGACGCAAGATGGATCGATATGGAACATGGCCTATTCATCGACATCACCACCGCAAGGTACAATGTCACATACGGGGAAGGTGAGGGTGTGTTAGTAGGCAAGGACGGTCACCTGTTTCGGGACACCTATCTGTTACCACTGCTGGAGACGACCTTTGAGGGTGTTAAGGCAAAAATTCCTTACAAGTACAAGGACTTTCTGATATCCGAATATGGCAAAGAATCCTTGTCGGACAAGGAAATCAATAAGTAAGACCCTGCCGAACAGTTACACGTCCACATGTTACTGATAACCACCACAGCCACCATTTCGATGACGACAAAATGGAGTGGGTGCCTACTAGAGAGCTCTAATGGCAAATAAAAATCTACTACGTTTGTTAACGCATGCAGCATGGCCGTCTGTGCAAAGCGAATGCAAGTTTGAGACCATGGAATGCTATCATGCGTTCGCCCAGTCTGTTCGTGTTACGGATCGCTGTTAGCCTCGCACCCGCCAACTACCTCATGCAAGCCAACTCACGGCGTTCCTCATGCCTCATCATCCTCCAGTTGTGTCCTAGCCTTTACAAGATGAGAGAAATGCCGCCATGAAGTGAGCCAAGGTGTTTCCGAACCGTATATTCCACGCTTGCAGGAGACTCGTGCCTGTTGTGCATCACCTATAAACAGCTTCACGCCGTTCTACACACTAGAGAGAGAACACGCTCCGAAATAGGATCAACGCCGTCGCAGAAGAGTCTGCCCCAAACCCCTGGACTGCCCCCCATCATCCCCGAGCCCATGTCCCACCAGGACATGCTAGTAGTCGCCGATCTTGGGCGTGCCCAGCCGTCAAACTCCCAAAGGTATAACGTATATGCAGAAAAAAGGGAAGAATACAGAAGGCTTTTTCAAGCCGCAAAGCGTTTCTCGAACTCTTTATACAACTTGGGGCTGATCTCATCACTGCTCATACCCTCGACTTCCCATAGGACGCCCTTCTTGGCGTAGTGCTCCAAGAGGGGCTCGCTTGTCTGCTGGAACTTTCGGAACCGCTCACGGTAAACCTCCTCAGTATCGTCGGGTCGTTGCATTAGAGGTTCGCCAGTGATGTCATCAATGCCGGCCACCTTGGGCGGATGGAAGGTGGTATTGTAGACACGGCCCGAGGGCTCATGAACCCAGCGGCCGGCGATGCGCTGCATGATCACGTCGAAGGGGGTCTGGAGAGACACGACAAGATTGATTGGAATGATCTTGTCGCATGTCACGGCTTGCGCGGCAGTCCTCGGGAAGCCATCCAGAATGAAGGAGGCATCAGGGTCCTCCGAGGCCTCAGGGGGGCCGTGTGCATCCAGAGCAGCCGTGGTAACGTACTCGTCGTGGGCGTCGGGGAAATCCCCAGCAGTGGCTGTGCTGGCGGCCAGGGTCATGACATTATGCTTGGCTTCGTTGGGCCGCAGCCAACCATTCTTGTACAGTTCGTTCGAGATCAAGCGCATGATAAGGTCGTCAGCGACGAGGCCGCCGGTCTTCATTGTCTTCTCGACTCGAATTCCTGTTGAAAGGGTAAGTTAGTTGGCGCGACCGAGGCACAGTCAGGCGAGTGACTTCGTAACATACCAAGAGCCGTCCGGGCAGTGACATTGCTTCGAAGTAAATCGCCCGTGCTGATGGACTGAAGTTGGGGAAAGCGATGTAGAAGTCTCTCGGACTGGGTGCCCTTGCCAACGCCTGGCGCACCGACGAGGATAACGCGCGCTGCCTTTCGGAGTCTCATATTATATTTTCGGTGACGGGTCGATCCAAATTGTCCAAAAGATTGGGAACAAGATCTGTGTTGGGATGTATATAGACGTCCTGTAAATGGTATCCGAAGTATCCGACTAAGAAAGGGGAAATGAGCGATTCAATGTAGCTCGAGGTGCCGAGGTGGCACGGATTGACGGGAGGATAGATCTCGTGGCTCGTGAAATCGTCCCCGCGGCGCGGGGTGAAGTGGGAAGAGTTGAAGGGACCGTGGAATGGAATGACGAAACCACAGGATTCAAAAGTCGGGCGGACGATTAAAAGATGATCATAGTCGTGAAAGTCTGACCATATAAGATGCGAAAATCGACAGAGATATGGGATGCGACAGCGATGTGACGCGAGCGGCTACGAGAGGCCTAGAGTTATTGCCGAGGAGTAGATGTCCCAAGGCTATTGTGAGGGTGGTGAGGATGGGGACCGCCGCCCTGGGAATGTTACTAATGTACCAGGGAATCAATTGTTGGACTGGTCGGATGCAGTTCTGGGGGCAGACCAAGCACGGGCTGCATCAGTGGCCCTCATGTTGAGTGGTGCGATGCAGTGAGAGTGGGGCTGAGACACCCTTTCCCACCGGCCGACTGGCCTCTCGAGCGTTAGAGCCATTTACTGGCTGATCTGATCGTTGAAGACTCAATAAGGTAAGGTACAATGACACGCCAACAGTCTGTGCACGCTCGATTTTCAGATAGTGGTAGAGATTCCCGTGTAAGCCTTAAAGCCAGCAGCTTTAATTATTTCGTGTTAGAATGCTTTTGCTTAGTTAATTCTTGATACCCGTATAGCCGACAAGGGCAGTCTCTGGACAGGATGGACGTGACTGACCTCCCCGATACAAGGCGAGCACGATCTTGAGAACAGTGTAGCTGAGATGGAATTTGTGTTGAGAAGTAAGTACGCTTGGGCCTCACGTCGAAGATATTGTGCGGCGACGCTGCTTCAAGTGAGTCTTCGCTCATTTTGCGAGAGATTTGAACCACAGATTCAAGGCGCGACAATTGTCGCTTAGAAGAACGAGGTCTAATGCAAACACTACACGAGCCGATACGGCAAGGGTACTACACAGTTTCTGCTTCGGACCAGCAAAACCTTGGATAGCTGATGTATGCGTGGGAGTGGCCTAGGCACGCCACCTACCCCTACCTGTACCTTCGGTGCCTCACGGAAGGCTTGTGACAACTATGACCAAGAGTGCTATTGCACGTGAGAGACGTCGCCTCTCTAATCGGCCGATGTTTAGCCACATGAGTGTTTGGTTGCAACACGTAACATGCTGCTTACGTCAACTCGGCTCCGGCATTGAGCCTGCCCAATTGTGGGTAAGCCTGGCGAGGCTAGCGCCCCTGCATTCGCTGTGGAAAAGTTGCGTTGAGGCAACGAAAGGGAGGTCTCGGAAAGTCGGAGCTAACAGGAGGAACCCCAGTCAACCCCAGAACTGTAGACGGAAGTCGCATCTCACGGAATCTTCTCTCTCTCCATCCCTCAACATCCTCCATCAGATCAACTGCCCTTCAGCACGCAATATCACCCATGAACAGCGCAGCTCGATAGCCGTACGCTTCTCTCTATCCAGCCGTCGCGACATCAGGACTCGTTCCGATTATGAGCGCCTCCGCCAGCGTTGCCCGCCGGGCAGTCGTTGCGAACCCACTTGCTGGGAACGGTGCGCTTCATTCAACCCCCGTCAATTTGTCAAATCGCAAGACTAAAATCATGTAGCACGCGCTCTTACAGGCCTAGCTCTGTCCCACGGATCTTTCAACAGATACGCCCGACACCTCCCCCGCAAGACTTCAGCGCTCGCTATCCTTGTTCCCGTTCGCCACATGAGCACTGAGCATCATAACCAGAACCAACCGCATTCTGGCCCGCCGCCTGGGTTCAATGTCGATGCGGCTAAAAAGCCTCTCGCTCAAGAGGCCTCATCCGTCCCCAAGAAGGATCAGAACTCTTCTGAACAGAAGAATGCACCGAGCAACAGCGCTGCAAGCTCATCCGAGATTCCATCGAAGGAGGTTGAGCTCGATGCCGAGGGCGGAGCTGGTACCTCTGTGAAGCAGGGTGTCGCGGTTGACGCTAAAGACTCCAAGGAGCAGAAGTTGACGGTGTGGCAGAAGTGAAGAAGGAGGTGGCATCACTACTGGGATGGCACTAAGCTCTCGCTGCTGAGGTCAGGATCAGTACTCGACTGGCGCTGAGATGGCTGCTGGTTATGAGCTCAGCCGAAGAGAAAACCGC